CAGAGGACTTTTTGTCTATTTGAAGGACGTTTTTCAACAGTGTTTGTAGCTGATGGTTCAGGATGAATGAGCTGAATGGCTCAGATCAAATGGAGGAATTACAGAATGACAGTACACACACACACACACACACACACACACACACACACACGGAAAGAGAGAGGAAGTAGATGTGGATAATTGCTGTGTTTATGGAGGAACTCGTTCTCCGCCTGTGCAGTGTGTGTGGTTTCTCCACAGCTGTGTCCATGTGAGAGATGAAATGATGCCTCTGCCATGATTACATGCCATTACTATTGTACCTGCTGTGTGTGTGTGTCTGTCTGTGTGTGTGTGTGTGTGTGTGTGTGTGTGTGTGTGTGTGTGTGTGTGTTCCCACAGGAGATTTTTTTCTTTAGTAACATATTCACTCAGTGTGTGATGTCGACTCACAGCTTCAGCTCCAGTTATATAATCACTCTTATTACACTTATCACGTCTGAGAGGATCAGCGTTTAGTGTTGTAAAGAGTTCTCAGTGTATGACAGGAAGCTTTAGTCTGTGACTAACTCGAGATTTTGAAAAATGGTTCCATCCAGTCTACACGACAGAACCAGAACCGGTGCTGAAGGCTCCGTAATGAGCAGTGCGTGTCCGGCTCGTGTCTGTCAGTGAACGCAGCATTTTAGTGGCACGTTACAGATTCTAATCTAAATCTAAAACTATCTGTACTATGAGAAAGTACTCTGTCTGTTTCCTGCCACAACTCTGTGAAAGTAGGCGGGGTTTATGTGTGCGCGTGTGTGTGTGTGTGTGTGTGTGAGAGAGTGTGTGTGTGTGTGTGTGAGTGATTAAAATGTAAATGTGAGGCAAGTATAGTGAGAAGGTGATTACGGACGGAGAGCTGAATGAGTCACAGCTCTGGGACAAGACATTTTGTGTGTGTGTGTGTGTGTGTGTGTGTGTGTGTTAAATAGTGTAATTGTGCCACACTTATTTTATGACAGCTTCACTATGTACCAGAGGGAGAGAGGGATATTGTCCAAGTTCATCTATACCCCCCTCCTTTCTCTCTCTCTCCCTCTCTCTCTGTCTCTCTCTCTGTCTCTCTCTGTTGTTCTTTCAGAGCCATCACTGCTTCTCAAGGGCATCATTTTACATGGTCACACAGTAAAACATTATGACCCGGGGACTAAGTGCCTTTGTGTTGGTCAATGTGTGTATTTGTGTGTGTGTGTGTGTGTGTGGGTGTGTGTGTGTGTGAGAGAGAGAGAGAGAGAGAGAGAGAGAGTTAATGCATGCATATTCCCAAAGCAGTACAATAAATCTGGGTTAATGAAAACCAGCTAAAGCAAAAGAGTGAGAGAAACGGAGAGCAGAGATTAAGAGAGAAGTGAGAGAAAGCGATGAGGATTATATTTATATTATATTATATTTATTATGCACAAAGCAAGTGATAATTTTTTTCTCCTGTTTTTCTCCTGTCTGAGGTGTATAAAATGCAGTTTGGATTTGGGTTCAGTTAAGTGATATGTCTAATAATTAACAGACATGTTTACTTCTAAAGTTGAAGGTTAAACAGACTGTGATACATTGTGTTAAACGGGGGCTTCGCTGAAACTCAATTTCTCAGCAGCATGTACATAAAATGTGAATTTATATAAATGAAAGTATGTAGAATGTAATTTTACAAGTATACAACTCTCACAGAGAAGCAGATTTACAGTGAGGTGTACGTATTTACAGGCGGATTTACAGTGTAGATATACTGCAGTGTAGGTGTAGAGATTTACAGTGCAGGTGTGCAGTATTATATGTACAGTGCAGGCTGTAGTTTTGCAGATTTACACGGCAGGTAAACACATTTACAGCACAGATTTACACATTTACAGTGCATATTTATAGATTTACACCAGTATACATTTACAGATTTACATTGCAAATTTATACATTTACACCAGTGTACATGCTTGAGATTCTTAAATGCCTTGTCAGCCTCTCGTGCCCACAAAAAATGGCAGGTACTTTTCTTAGTCAGGGCAGATATAGGGGCAGTTACTGAACTAAAGTCTCTGATGAATTTGCGATAAAAATTAGCAAAGCCAAGAAACCTTTGTACCTCCTTTATAGTACTTGGTGTGGGCCATCCTCGAACAGATGGGTCTTCTTGGCCTTGACATACAGGTGGTTCTTGAGAAGTCTCTGGAGAACTTAGCGCACATGGTGGTAATGCTCATGTAGGGACCGGGAGAAAATTAAAATGTCATCCAGGTAGAAGAACACGGACTGGTTTATCATGTCTCTGAGTGTGTCATTGATAAAAGCCTGGAATACCACTGGGGCATTGGTCAATCCAAACGGCATTACTAGATACTCATAATGGCCAGACGGAGTATTAAAGGCCGTTTTCCATTCATCCCCTTCACAGATTCTAACTAGATGGTACGCATTTCGCAGGTCTAATTTAGTGAAAATGGTGGCCCCCTGAAGTAAGTCAAATGCTGTGGACATCAGTGGCAAAGGATAACGATTACGGATGGTAATTTTATTAAGGCCCCTGTAATCAGTACATCTTTCTTGCTGACAAAGAAGAATCCAGCCCCTGCTGGAGAAGTAGATGGCCGAATGAACGCAGAAGCCAAGGCATCTCTTATATAAGTATCCATCCTTACGTTCAGGGAGCGAAAGTGAAAAGATCCATCCCCGAGGAGGGCTGGTACCAGGTAAGAGTTCTACGGCACAATCGTAGGGTCTGTGCTCTTTTTTTACTAAAGACCTCCTTCAAGTCCAGATACTCAGCAGGAACATGGGTTAGCTCGGAGGGGTCTGGGGCTTTGGACTTAAGGGAAGGACTAGCAAAAAGGCACGTAGCATGGCAAGTGGGCCCCCATTCTAAGATAGTGCCAGTGAGCCAGTTAATATGGGGATTATGGTGGTTTAGCCAAGGGAACGCCAGGACCACAGGAAAGTCAGGGGAATCAATAAGGTGCAGGGATATTTCCTCCTGGTGATTCTCCACTTTAAGGCATATCGGTGAAGTGGTGGAGATCACAGTGCCTGGACCAAGAGGATGGCCATCCAACGTGGTGACAGACAGCGGGGTGTCAAGAACGACTCTCGGAAACTTGAGTTGTTCAGTAAGTCTGGCATCTATGAAGTTGCCTGCTGCACCAGAATCAACCAAGGCTTGACAAGAGTATACCTGTTTTCCCCAAGTAATGGTGATGAGAAGGTAGACACCCCCGCTGGGGAATTTGGGAGTAAAAGTAGCTCCTGTTACAGCCTTCCCTCTGCTGGACGGTACAGCTCTTTTCCCAGCAACTCCGGACAAGAGGCACTGAAGTGAACAGGTTTGCCGCAGTAGATACAACACTTCTCTCGTCTGCGACGGTCCCTTTCAGCCAGTGATAGACGAGCACGTCCAACTTGCATCAGTTCGGGTATCTCAGGAAGAGGTGTAGATGGGATCCCAGTCGAACCTGCCAGCTCATATGTCTTCTGGAGACTAGAACGATCTCTGTAGTGTTCCCGAAGGTGGTTGTCTAGGCATACGGCCTGAGAGATTAGGACCTCTAGGTCATCAGGACAGTCCAGAGAAGCTAAGCCATCTTTCAATACTTCGGACAGACCATTCAGAAATGCAGAAATGAGTGCTGGCTCATTCAAGCCACTCTCCGCTGCAAGGGTGCGAAAGGAAATGGCATAATCCGCAACACTGTTCCTGCCCTGACGGAGCTGCAGCAGTTGCTTGGCTGCTTCCTGACCTGAGGAAGATTGGTTGAAAATCTTCAGCATGTTGTCACATGATGTTGGCACACTCAGGACCTTGCTTTTTCCAAATAGCTGTTTCCCAGGACAGGGCTTTGCCAGTTGTCAGCGTGATAATGTAGGCCATCTTGGACCTATCAAAGGGATAAGTAGAAGGTTGTAGTTGAAATGTCAGTTGAAGTTAAAAAGCCCTGGCATTTTCATACCTTTGGGGGCTGAGAGGTGGGGCTCAGCCCCTAGAAGTTGCGCTGGAGCCAGGGGATCCTGTGGGACAGGCGTCATCAGGGCAGTAGGCAGACCGGAGGGGGAAGCTGGTGGCACCAAACTTCTCACAGTTTCAGCTAGCTGTCAAAGGATTTGGTCATGGCATGCTAGTGTGTCCTAGACAAGGCTTGGCAGTGTGAATCCATGGTGGAGCCAAAGCTATTCAGGGCAGCCATGATACACTCAATCTCCTTGGCTGATACTCTGCCAGAGGACATAGATGCTTCTGCTAAGTCTGTTATGGCTAAGTCTTTCTGTCACGGTCAAACATGAAGGCAAACAAATCCAAAGGGAAAATCCAGAAATCGTTAACACAGAAGCAGGCAGAGAATTCAGGAGACCAGGCAATCCAAAACCGTAACAAAAGGCAAAGAGTTTGCAACACAAAAGAATACAAGGACTTAGCAAAGACATGGACATGAGACAAGGTCTAAATACACTGAAGGTAACAAGCTAATAGATCACATGACAGGGAGACAATGAGTTACAGGTGAGCAAGATAATTACAAGGCTAGGCAAAGTCAACAACATAGAGACTAATTTGGCGACCTCTGGTGGTCAAAATTATTCATATAGTGACAGTACAGTTACAGATTTACACTGCAAATTTACAGATTTACAGAAGTGTACATTTACAGATTTACAGTACAGGCTTACAGATTTACAGCAGTGTACATTTACATATTTACATTGTAAATTTACAGATTGACACCAGTATACATTTACAGATTTACAGTACAGACCTACAGATTTACAGCAGTGTACATTTACAGATTTACATTGTAAATTTATAGATTTACAGCAGTGTACATTTACAGATTTACAGTACAGACCTACAGATTTACAGCAGTGTACATTTACAGATTTACATTGTCAATTTACAGATTTACAGAAGTGTACATTTACAGATTTACTTTGCAAATTTACACATTTACAGCAATGTAGATTAACAGATTTATAGTACAGATTTACAGTACAATTTTAGAGATTTTCTAGAGGACTAGTGGTTAGGCTACAGCGCTCTCACCACTGCAACCCAGGTTCGACTCTGGGCCAGGGAACCAACCGCATGCAAGGTCCCTAGCCTGGATAAAATTGGGGAGGGTTGCATCAGAAAGAGCATCCAGTGTAAAGCGGCAGCCAAAACAAGAACAACACTGTGGTTTTATAGATGTACAGTGTAGATTTATAGTGCAGACAGTGCATGTCCAGCTGTTCATTGCAGTTTTATGGATTTCACATCCTGCAAGTGATTAGTGCTGCTTACAACCTTCTGGCGTGTTTGCCGGTTCTTCGAAATCATCATATTTAGAAACGTTTCATCTGCTCTATTTACACTGATATTTTTATGTCCGATTTGATCATTTAGGCCACAGATTGAGTAAATACTGTATCATTGTCAAGTCAAGTCAAGTGGATCTTCATTGTCATCACAGCCAAGTATAGTGTGCAGTACATAGTGAGAAGAACTAACGTTTCTCCTGGACCCAGTCTGCAAGGTACATGTATGACATACACAGTGCTGACAGGACATAAATAAAGTGCACCAGAATGTTTGGAATGAACGATTCTTCGGTGAGTTTATGTTTAAGTCTCTCCATGCCTGTGATTGGCTGGTGCTGTTTTGATGGTCATCTTTCTCTTCCCCTCCTCCCAAAAAAAAAAACAAACAAACAAGAATGAAAGCTCAGAACTGTTCATTTTCATTTGAATGAAATGGGTTTCCTCACTCCATCAGTTCTGTTTGTGTTCATTGTGACTTTCAGTGATTTCTATGACAAGTTTCAGTGCCTGTGGATCTTTTGGCCATGAACTGACTGTCAACACTGCTTTGCCGGCATCGTTACTCATCAGCTCGGCTGTTAAAAACGTTCAGGCTGTATTACATGAGGCATCGGAACTCATATTCCTCTCAGGCTGGCGTTTTAATATTTGCCTTTAAAAGACTGAATGAAAGTCTTTAAGCTGCTGCTTACTGTTTGTGTATGAGCTTTTATAAAATTACCCAGCAAAATAGCCTGACATTTATTGGTATTCATGGATTTCCAAAACACAGTCGCGCACACACACACACACACACACACACACACACAAATTTGCATTTGGGTTGATATTAAACATTTCTGTAATAAAAGCATGTTTATAATAGCTGGGATTAAGCAAATAAAATACGGCAGCAATTTTATTAGTGTTACCTCAGTAAATATAATCAGAGAAAATGTTTTTTTTCTAGCGAGGCTGAGAGCTAAAGCTCGACTCCTGACAGTAAGCAGGATCTTAAGCCACTGTCTGATTTGTCCCTCATTTCTGCATTCACTCACTCAGTAGGGAGCCTAAATCCGGTGACATTACATTCCTTAATACCTACTAATATAGTACGTATATAACATGTACTAATATAGTAATATAGAAAAGAAAAAAATAGTGTTTTGCTAAAATATAAAGAATTGACAGCAAAATGAGGTAAAGTAAATGTTATAGATAGAATGGTACATCAAAAGGCTAATCTGGCTAAAATCTTCAATGATTAATAATACAGGAAATAAAATATTTTTAGCTAATATATAAAGAAATGGCAGCAGAATTAGCTGAAATTATATTCTAATTTATAAACAAGAATTTAATGATAAAGCACATGTTGGAGCTACACAACTGCAGAAAAATGTTCTCAACTAAAGCTTCAATAAATGACAGCAAGTGAAGAGAACATTTATTTAAAAGTTTAAATGGTAGAGAAATGGAAAGACTTCAGTGTTAATCTAGCTAACGTAGAATAAAAGCTCTATACAGCAATACAGGCTGAACGCCTCCTTACAAGCTTTTGCTTGTGATTCACAATAAAGTGTTAATAAGCTTAGCTATAGGCTTTAACAGCTGAAAGGTGCTGCTGTTGCTGTTTTTTTCTAAACACTGTTCTGTAGTAGAAATGAAAACACAGAAGGTGTAACGTTCTTGTTCCGTAAATACGGCTGAGTAAGAGGTGGTTTAAACAGATGCTCCAGTTCTTTCAATTATGCTAACAGCTGGAGTGGCAGAGGCTCAGTGTGAGATGCTGGCTCGAAATCAAAGCAGGAAAAGTGCTGCCGATGCCAGCATCCTCACAGATTCCAGCTAATGAGAAAAACTATGGAGAGCCTTCAAATAGCCAAACATCTCCAAAAGCTCTGTCACGACTCTGGCTGATTATGAGCGGGTGAATAGCCAACTTTTTTTTTTAAAGGGAAAGAGGATACAAGGTTTTTAACAAGTTCAAAATAGTCCTTTAAGCAGATTTAGCAAGGATAAAATGGACAATATTGGTTATTATAATATTATTATAGTATTATATTATTAACAGTCACGATCAAACACCATCATTGACAAAAAACACCAACATTGTCCATCAAACACGTAATTATCCACCATCATTATATACCAAATTACTTCAGTGACATTACGTCATCTCCATCAGACACCAACATTCACATCATGTTTGTTATTAAGCACCAGCAAAAAAATTACACAGATATACTCTAGCAAACACCATCATTCACCACCAGACGTCAACATTCACCATCAGACATCACTGTTCGCTTTTAAAATCCAAGTCTGTCCATCAACCACTGACCTTCACAACCACACACCAAAATATTTAATCAAAAATCAACATTTGCACTATTTAATGCCATCTTTCTCAAACACCAACATTCTCCATCAAACATCAACATTCTACATTAAACATCAACATTTACCTTCAAACTCCAATGTTCTCCATCAAACATCAACATTCTACATTAAACATCAACATTCTCCATCAAAGACCATCAACATTTACCTTCAAACTCCAATGTTCTCCATCAAACATCAACATTCTACATTAAACATCAACATTCTCCATCAAACACCATCAACATTTACCTTCAAACTCCAATGTTCTCCATCAAACATTAACATTCTACATTAAACATCAACATTCTCCATCAAACACCAACATCAACATTTACCTTCAAACGCCAGTGTTCGCCATCAAACATCAACATTCTACATTAAACATCAACATTCTCCATCAAACACCATCAACATTTACTTTCAAACTCCAATGTTCTCCATCAAACATTAACATTCTACATTAAACATCAACATTCTCCATCAAACACCAACATCAACATTTACCTTCAAACTCCAATGTTCTCCATCAATCATCAACATTCACCATCAAACATTCATGATCTAACACCAATCTTGCCATCAGCTTCCTACATACTCCATCAGATGCTAATGTTCTCCACCAAACATCAGTGTTGACTTTTAAAGATTAATATTCATTGCCAAACACCTAAATAATTAATTACACATCAATATTACCATTAAAAAACAACATTATCACACACCAAAATTTGACATTAAACATTCTCCATCAAACACCATTTTTCACCATCTAACACCAACATTCACCATCAAACACCAACATTCTCCATCACACACCAACATTCTCCATCAAACATCAACATTCACCATCATTCACCATCAAACACCAACATTCACCTTCAAACACCAATATTCTCCATCAAACACCAACATTCACCATAAAACACCAACATTCATTATCACACACCAACATTCACCATAAAACACCAACATTCACCATCAAACACCAACATTCACCATCAAACACCAATATTATCCATCAAACACCAACATTCACCATTGAACACCAATATTATCCATCAAACACCAACATTCACCATCAAACACCAACATTCTCCTACAAAACCCAACATTCACCATCAAACACCAACAATCACACCAACATTCACCATCAAACCCCAACATTCACCATCAAACACCAACAATCACACCAACATTCACCTTCAAACACCAACATTCACCATCAAACACCAACATTCACCATCAAACACACCAACATTCTCCATCAAACACCAGCAATCACACCAACATTCACTTTCAAACACCAACATTCTCCATCAAAAACTGAAATTTTCCAGCAAACACCAACGTTCTCCATCAAACACAAAAAAATCATGAATAAACACACAATTTCGCTATAAATTACCAACAAAATCGTACCCGGTTGGACACCAGCAATCGCAGTCATACACCAAGATTCATCATCAGAATGCACTTTATTTGTCATTTATTTGTCTTTCTAAAGTTCAGTAAAAGAACTGATGAGCCTGATTACATGTGTGAATAAAAAATAATCAGTACTTTTTTTGGTGTTTGTTGTGTTCTGACCTGAAGAATAATGCATCTGTTCTTTCTCCTTTCCTCCATCAGGTCTACCAGTACATGCATGAGACAATAACAGTGAACGGCTGTCCGGAGTATCAGGCTCGAGCCACAGCAAAGGTGAGAATGGCTAAGAATGTGATTCATCTAGCTAGCATGCACAGTGTCAGGACAGTGATAGCAAAAACGAGACAGAACCATCAGGAACATCAACATTTTCCTCAAAATTTTGGTAAAATCTTTTACTCAGCATTGTCTGCTAACCGAACTAAGGATTCCACTACTTGGAGAAATGTCGACATTGTGTAGGAACTCGGTCTAAGTCATCGGTTGTGGATGCTACAAGAGCGTACCATTCATGTAGAATCTTCTCAAATACAGAGTTGTATGTAGCGTAAGAACATTTTGTGGAAAGTGTTGGTAAATTGGTACAGTCCAGAAATAGAAATGGTGTGGTAGTGGTGAGCTTTACGTTTTTATGCTAATGTTCAACTTCCATATCATGATATGAGCATGACAGACCTGCCGACCTTCACATATTTTGTGTAAGAACTCCATATTTTAACATCCGAGTACGCGCGAATCTGGAACGATCGACAGTTGCGCAGGTATTTTGAATTCTCTGGTGTTAACTGAAACCCTGGAAGCCCCGCCCCCTTCCCCCATCTCACAATAGTCATATTTTGGCCGGGGCTCTCGTCTAGATTTTGACTTCATTAATGTGAAATAAAATCAATCAGTGTGTTTTGCACTTAGCTAACATTACACACGTATATAGTTAACCTCAGTTAGCTAGATTTATTAAGGCTGCACTGAAGACTTTCAGTCAGCG